TGAATAAATAACGTTGAGTGGAGGTAATCGGCTTTCATTGCTAGAATTGCCAAGTGGGCGTTTTGTTGGGTTTCTAAGCAAAACTACATGGTGAAATAATTTAGATATATTTTGAAAACCCAAGGCATGCTTCAGTGCATTGCTCTAAATTGATAAACTCGTCAAAGCTCATATCTAAAGTAGAACTTTCCAAGAGGAAATCCGAAATCTATCGATAAAGGATTACAGTACTAGTTTGAGTGAATTTTGGATTGTTCTTCTCTTCAAGGTTGTGGTTCTAAACTAGGATTGGTGGTTATACCTTGTGCAAGTTGTTTTTTCCTTTTATTTATACTAGTATAGGAGTTAATGGTTTTTTTTTTTAACAGATTTACATTTGAGGGTGGAGGAATTCAATCCTCAACCTAAGAGTTAGGGAGATGCAGTTTTCAACTCAGTTTATAACCATTGGGTTGTGAGGTTCAAGTAAATATAAAAGTTAGCGCTTTGGAAGACTAAAATTCCTCTAATCTCATTTGGAAGAACATGTATTTGTCTCCAAATCCAAGTAGAAAATATATATATATATATATATATATAAATCTTGCCCCGTCCCTTGGTAGGCCGCAAAAGGTTCGACCAGAACATCTTCAGTATACTTCTTGAATCAACTCGAACAAAACCAAACCGGATTAAATAATTTAATCTATTTAACCTTGATTTTTGAAACTTGATTTATTTAATTCTTTTAAGAATATTATTTTCACTTAAACTGATCATTCTACTATTTTCTATATTCATATAAAACCTGAATCTTGAGTTGATGTGCTATTGTATGCAACCTATTGGGTATAAGAGGATGCAACAGAAGTAAAAATTTAATATTTTCTTCTTTTAACTAAGTTAGGTTTCTTATGGATTCAATGACTGTCAAGGAATGATAATAAAACAAACAATAATGAAGTGTGCCTCATTAGGGTGTAGCTATGAATCTGCTACTTTGAAAATGCCTCAAGAGCCCAAGACAGAACTCCTATAGCGATGATCCATGTGTATGTCAATGGAATTAAGAAAAAACTTAAACCTTCTAGTGCTAGCTTTGAAAAATTCTAGATGATTTTTCCCTTGTAGCACTAATCCTTTAGTGGCCTAAAATTCTACAATTAACTAAAAAAAAAAATTATTTTCTACTCTTATTTATACTAAAAAGAAAAAGGAAGATTAGTAATTTTAATTCAATTGGAATTACATTAAATAAAACTTAGTTTCCAAGTCAAAGTAGAGAACAAAAAAAAAAGATAAAGAAATTCTCTTCTCTTATAGGAGACTTGCCACCTAAACGTGACAAACAAGTTCGGTTGAGCAACCTCAGATTGGGTCATTTCAAATTCTGAATTTATAAGGTTGAGTCGTTTCGGATTTTTAATTAAAAGAGTAGACCCATGATTCATTCACACAAGTTTTAAATTAAATCGAATGAAGTCAACTTTTAAAAAAGTTAAAATTAAAATTAAAATTAAAATTTTTAAAATTTTTCTTTATTTTTTCTTTAAAAATTTTGAATATTAATTAATTATCTAGTCAAAAAATCTGTTAAATTAATATTAATACTAATAATCTAATAAATAATAACTATTTTATAGTATTTAATTTTATCTTATATTTAAAAATTAAAGTTAAAAGTATAATTAATCAAATTTTTCATTTAAAAAGGTTAATTAATTTTAGTAGGATCACCTTGGGTTAACTCAACCCAACTCTAATCCAACTCAGTCAAATTCGAGTAATATTGGTCTACCTTATATCAAATTCTAAATTGATACCTTACACCTATAATTTTCAAATTAGATCCAATTTTATCGTGTCTATTGCCACCCTAGTCTATGTTGGACTAAAAGTGGGCCCAAGGGCTTTTGTGCCCTTGTCATTGCACAACCCAAGTCCTATGTGGGCTAAGGTTTGCCCATAAAGTCAACCTGGCCTTAATTGCCACTTTTGGATTTTCTTATCCTAAATCTCAAGCAAATCAAACTTGAATGATATCTTGGATTACATAATTAATCCTTTTACCAATTAATTCCTAGAATTTGATTAGCTTATTTGTCTTGTGAAAACCTTATTTTCACATAAACTAATCCTTTTCTCTAAATTTGAATTCCATGAATTCCAATTCCCTTTAGTGCACTATTGTGCGTTCCTTCCAGATTTATAACTCATTGGTAGTAAAATGCTCCACAACACAAGGTGATCAACTTCTAGCAATGTCTCATGGTCACCCAATTTGATAAAAAAGTCAAAAGCTCCAACAAACCTTTCTATGATAGATACACTTGTGTAATTCAATTCTTTCATCATTGATATTTCTATCAAGTAAGAAGCATTCTATATGTCATACTCTTTAGAACTTGATGCATTTTCTTTAATTACCAAGACAGACTAACTTAATAAACTCTTTCGTTTTTTGTTATGACCACAAACTTTATTAAGTAGTCTCATCTCAATTAAAAGGCTTAGAGATATGTCTTCTTCCATTAGCTTAAGAGGGATGCATCCTATCTTAACTCACTCATTATTCTTATATGATTCATGATGTACCCATAAATTTTATTACTTACTATCACTCATAGTGATTGTTTTTAATAGAATCAAAGTGCATGAGTTCTTACATAGAACATGACGATCTTAGGTCAAAGGATTACTAACTCTTGCATAAGAGAAGAGAAACTATTAATGCCATGTGCATGTAGTGTTTTCATAATGGGTCAATCTATAAAACTTATTCTCTTTGAGTACCACATGTGAGTCATGAGAAGAAGTCCTGCCACCAAACAAGGTCTCACCATGTATTAGTCTTAACTGATCGATATTCCATCTCAATGATGTATATGACTAATGGATAATTATGAATAGTATTATTGCCTTATACGATTCTTATTAACAATGATAGCTGCTATTACCTTCTGATCCAGCAAATCATTCTAAGGACTTTATCAATATTTAAAGTATGTAGAAGAATAATAGTTCATGTGTCACACCTTAAATCTCACATCATTGGGGACTTTTAAGTGAGTCTAGTATATAAAAGTGAAGACCAACCATTACTAATAACTTCGACTTGTGCTTTTGAGGGCTTATGCACCTTAGTGTGAAGAGTTGTTTGGCCAATAACAGGCTTTAACTCAAGTTATTTCAGTTGGTATCAAAGCAGTCACCTCTCATAGGTATAGGCCTATACTGATCATCACATTCGATGGTACTGTGGACCCAATATCACTTGAGATGAATTTTGTACTTGTGGGCTAGTGAGTCTAATTTTGATTGTGCTTGGGTTTGATGAGGACATCAATTGTTTAAGTGGAGGAGATTGTAACACCTTGAATCCTACATCGGTGGGGATCTATAAGTGAGTCTAGTATATAAATATAGAAACTAACCACTACTAATAAATTAAGCTTGAACTTTAAGGGGGCCTATAAACCTTGGCCCAAAGAGTTGTAACACCAGTAACAAGCTTTACATTGATGGGGACTTGTAAGTGAGTCTAGTATATAAGTGTGGAAGCTAATTACTACTAACAACTTAAACTTAAACTTTTGAGGGCTTGTGGACCTTGGTCCAAAAAGTTGTTAGAGAAACGTATTTGTTTTGACAAACTTACTAATCACTGTGCAACTCCATCCCTTCTTCAATAGAAGAAATAGTATGGCTGGAAGTTAAATACTAATGTCTATTGACATAGCGCAAAAGGTGGTCTCTCTTTTACGTCGATATTAGTATCTATAGCTAACTTAAAATTGATAAATGGTAGATGGATCTTACAGTAGCAATAATTTGGTGGAGTTTTGCAAGTTAATTATAAGAAAATTCTTTTCTCATAAATTTTAAATTTCTTAGAGGGGAAATTTATTTTTTAAGATTCTTAGCCCATTATAAGCAAGTTCCAACAGAAGCTTTGAATCAGAGCTTTTTCTAAAAATCACTTATACTCTTTTTAATAGCTAAAAAACAAAGTTTCCCCTTATTATAAATTGAAATTTTTAAAAAAGAGATTGTTGTGCTAAATTAAATGCCTAATAAAAAGGTAAAAAATTTAATTTTCAAAATTAAAAAGCCGGGACCTATAAATTCGATCAATATTTTTAAAAAGTTAAATATTATCCATAAACAATTAAGAAAAAAATAAAAAAGAAAAGAAAAGATGAAGGAAAAAAAACTTTTTAATTAAAATTTAGATTTTTTAAGATGTAAATGGTAAGCGAATCAAATTTATGATTTGAGCAATTAAATATGAGAATACAAAAAATCTATGAAGATATGCATAAAATCTAAGTCACAAATGCTCTAGTTGTAATTAAGGAAGGGATT